TTTTGTGGAGAAAAAAAACTAAATAAACAATCTAGACAAAAAGGTGTCTAGGATGAAAAATAAGTAGACAGAATAAATAATATTGAAAATAACTAAGTTTTATTTAGAATAAAGAAGCATACAAACCCACTTGGATATGTCTTTCATTAATCAATTCTTCTTGATCACACTTTGATAAGCTGAAAGTTGTGAAATGTTTTTTTTTTCAACTTCATCATTAAATATTGGTGCATATTAATTACATGCTATCTGTTAAATAACCCAGTTACAATGACTTAATTAAATACTTTGTACAATCATATTGTCTTCTAAAATCCGTGTAGTTAGAATATGAAAACTAAGCCCATGAACATAACATCAATTTGCCCTTCTTGATTTTTCAGTAATTTTCATATTTTACTTGGATCGTTTTAACAATTACAATGAAACTACAACTTATATGTTTCACAGCACTCGGTTACTAGCTACTGAGTATTAGTCGACAAACAGCTTCCGCCAATTTTTGTTCAGTTGCAGTTGGTCACGATTAAGAAAACACATTCACTGATGATGACAAATAGCAGTCTGTAAATATCGCGAAATCGTTAGGGTTTAACTGCTAACATTTCATGTCGTTGTGTCATTTCGAAATATGAACTTAATGCCTCTTCCTGAGTTAAGTTGAAAGTGCTCACTCACCAAGAGTTTTATACTCCAATGAAAACAGTGCCTAGTATTCTCAGATTTTGAGTAATAAGCCAGCTGGTAAATAAAATTATTCCAAATTATCATTGAGCTAAATATGGATTTTGGAAACTATGAATTCAAAAACTATTCATTCGTGTCCGTGGGTGAGTCGGTCGGCTACAACGTAGGACCAGGCACATATTTGCATCGGTCCAAGTTGTCATATCTTATTAGCACAACAGGATGAACACCAAATTCATAGAAGCAGCTACTTCGATGGTAGAAAAAAGCACTTCATATAAGCATATGATAAAGGGAGAAAAGGTTAGTTCGTAGGAAGAAAGATATAGAGTAATTTAATATCACGGATTAAGGGATGACAAAGAGTGCATACACCTACGGCGTTGTGGTCGATTATGAGCCATGTCACCCAGAGTCTCCAACCATTGGATACAATAGTCGCGTGTACCCCAACCAAGTAGTATGAATCTGCTAACATGGCTCAGACTAGAAGTTAGTGACTTCAAGTACTGATGCCACTTTCTGATTTGGACGCCCCTAACTTTCTTCCAGCCATCTCCAACACTAGTCAGTATTGCGCTTCGTGGTAATCGGTGTTCAAGCATAAGCAACACATGACCCGACCACCTCAGTCGATGTAGATTTACAACCTGATCAACTGTTTTACCATAATTTCCTAATACACTGCGTCTAACCTCACCATTACTTACCCGGTGATCCCAGCAGATGTGAGTAATATTTCTAAGACATCTGTGAGCATATACTTGTAACCTATGAGTATCCATACCCTTGATGGCCACGTTTCGTAGCTGTAAAGTAGAACAGAAAGAATTGCTGCGCAGTATACCGTGAGTGATTCAAGATCATGCCACACGACAGAGGGATGAAATTATCAAGATAATGGTATCGGTAGTAGCAGAAAGAATTATTATAGATAATATAGTTCGAGAAGAACGAAAAAACATTTTCAAACTCGAGATCCAAGGGAAGACAGAGTAAATGCTTCTGTGACTTCACTCATTGTTTTCCACCACCGGCCCAATTTGTCAGTTCGAAATAATTTCTAGATCGAATAATAGTGTACGAGTAGGGGGCATTCGGTAAGAAACACTGTCACAAGACCACTCGATCAGCAGGATCAAATACTACTTTAACGTCAAGAAACACAACTTTAGTTAGCTGTTAAAAATGCATGTGTTCTAAAACCTGAACAATAAATATTCGATCAACACATCCACATGTGTCAAAAACAACCCTGGTTTTCTCAGGTTTGCTATATATGAGCCCTAGTTAGGCGTCGGATTATTACAGGTTAGTATTTTAGACACCATGTTGATTAAGCTGATTCTTGTGGTTATCATAAGACATAAGCGATCGAGATTAGTCAAATGGGATTGTGTAGATGAGTGACTCAAAACAAATAAATGCAAGCTACATATATATCACTGCTGTGTATTTGTAAGTCTGAAAAACAGAAGATACCCTTTGGTTAGAAATACTATTTATAAATACCGTAACTAGTTAGAAGTACCTGAAAATGATTTAGAAGGAATACTTAATTTTCTCATTTCACATACTGAATAGAAATTTGCACAGAAACCACATGCAGACGTAAAGGCGAGGATCGGCAAACCAAGGGTCGCATTCCTACAATTGAAGAACATATGGAACTCAAAACAACTTTCAACCAATATCAAAGTGAGAATCTTCAACACCAACGTTAAGGCAGTTCTACTGTATGGAGCTGAAACTTGGAGAACTACAACAACCACAATCAAGAAAGTACAAGTATTTATAAATAACTGTCTACGCAAGATACTCAACATCCATTGGCCGGATACCATCAGCAATAGCCTTCTGTGGGAGAGAACAAACCAGCTTCCAGCTGAAAAAGAAATTAGGAAAAGACGATGGAAATGGATAGGACATACATTACGCAAATCGTCAAACTGCATCACGAGGCAAGCCCTAACTTGGAATCCTGAAGGGAAGCGGAAAAGAGGAGGGCCAAAGAACACATTACGTCGGATAATAGAAGCAGATATGAAAAGGATGAATTACAACTGGAAGGAGCTGGAAAGGATTGCCCAGGACAGGGTTGGATGGAGAATGCTGGTGAGAGGCCTATGCTCCTTCACGAGGAGTAACCGAAACCACAACCAATCTTCAGATGTATCATACTGATGAGACAAATTACAAACTTCATTGTTTATAGATCGATCTGTTTAATGTATTCAACCATTGCTTATAGCAGGTCGACATATATGTCATTCGGAGTTAACATTTTGAGGTCACATTTATAAATAACGATCAGTCGATTTCAAATATCGGATTCATCGCATACAGTTGACAATAAATTTACGATCACCAAGTTAACTTCGTAGAATGAGTACCGTCGATGTATATGAACGTTGTATCAAATAACTATGAAGCCGGTCGATGTCCATATCTCTCAACAAAATAATTTGGACCGTTTAGGGGGTTCTAAATTAGTCAGGAATCGCTGTTGGGAATTTTTGGTCGACAACCAATAAACAAACTCCGTTCATTATTTGACAAAAACAAGCAAACATTAGCTATTTAAGATCAAGATTTCTTGGTTCAATTCTTATAGATTCTATGGATCTACATAGGATCTCAGGAAACAGACTACCTCCCCTACGAAGTTATATATATTTTGGAAATGAGTAACTCCGTGATGGGTACCTATGATCATCTGAATAACTAGCAACTCAGTCAGTCAGTCAGATACAATGTAGGACCAGGCATATATTTGCATCGATCCAAGTTGCCATACCTCATTAACACAACAAGGTGGACACCGGATTCATAAAAGTAGTTCATTCAGAGGTGGTAATATATGAAAGAAAGATTGCATATAAGAACGTATAACGGGAAGAAATAATCAGTTGGTAAAAAGAAAGATATGAAGCGAAGACAGAGTGTATACAGCTACGTTGTTGTGGTCGATTATGAGCCATGTATCCCAGTCTCCAACCATTGGTTACGATAGTCACACGGACCCCAACCAAGTAGTCTGCATCTACCAACATGTCTCAGACTAGAAGTCATTGACTTCAAGGACTGATGCCACGTTTTGGTTTGGCCGCCCTTAACTTTCTTCCAACCATCTCCAACACCGGTTAGCATTGCACGTCGTGGTAATCGGCGTTCAGGCATACGCAGGACGAATAAGTGTTTTTGATATTTTTAGCTTCCGAGATCAATGAATAAATTGGATACTGTAGGTATTTTATGGAAAGCACTAACCACCATTGAATGATAATCAAAAAATGTCGAATAGAAGAATAACGAAATGAGTATGCTAAAAAGATATATATATATATATATATATATATATATATATCCTGTAAAATCGTAAAGCTACTAGCAAAAATATGTGATAAAATAAATGAGTGGTGACTTATCCCGTTTTTTCACTGTTGTATGGAAGAAAATATAACAATAGGTACGATTAACTTACAAGGTTCAGAAGTGACTTCGATGGAAAACAATTGGAAACAACTAGAAGTATCTACATAACTGAAGTTACTTGTAGTTTACATAAACTTGAAAGGATTCACTGTGTTGCACATTCATCATAGATACTTTGTAATCTCGATTAAAGAAAATAAGTTTATGAATAAAAAAAGAGACCAGATAAAACTCAAACCGGAAATATATATTTTTAATAAGAAATGAGTGAGAATTTCAAAATAAAAGTAAAACCGAGTTAGTAACATTAAAGATCACTGGGACATAGCTGAGGTAGATTATACAAAAGAAGAAAACAAACACAAGGAAGTAAACCTTTCACATAATAACAAGTTCTAACATAAATATTAACTTCCTGTGTAACAAAAATGAAACGATTAGTATGAAACAAAATATCTTTGCTTTTGGTAAAACGCAAGTGGGAAAATAGTTAAAATCGTACAATATAGTGAACAAACAATTCCTGAATAGTCAGTGAGCAGGTTTATAAACAAACATGATCGATTTAGTGGAAATCTGTTTTACATAGTGAGAAAACAACACTATATGAACTGTAGTATAATAGTTAAACTTAAATATTTTTTAAAAAATGGAACGGAGTTATAAAAAATAAACTTTTATTTTAATCACTACCGGTTTCCAGATAGAAAATTAAGATAGGTACTCTGAATGTGGGATTGGAATCGCCATAAAGCGTCTATTTTTGTTTAAATCCAGTAGAAATGATTACGGATGGGTTTACCAGTAAAATGAGCAAAAATTAAGATAAACTAAATGCACAGTAAACCTAAATATACATAGATTTAAAAAGTCAGTATTTAAATTACAGCACGAGACTGAGGAACGGAAAAGTTAGAGGAACTAGTAATAGTTTGTGCTTGATTTATAAAGTGTTTTCTTCTATAAGAAATTTCGCAGTCGTTCACAGACTGCATATGTGACTTGGTACAACGGAGTGGTAGAATTGATACGGAAGAAGATTGATTTCCATGAGAAATTACGATGAGACCTTTGGTAGTACCGTAAAGAATGCTGCCATTGGCATTCCAAACAATGGTATTCAAAGAGATTCCACTTTGAGCAGAAAGTAATAACCGATGCCAGCGATCTAATTTTTCTGAAGATGGACTAGATAATTCAAGATATCTTGATGAGACAGGATCCAAAAGTGCAGGATGTTTGATATTTTGAATATCACGCAGGCTCCGACGAATTTGACCCTTCTGTGTTTTGGAACGTTGAAGGTGGAAAACGCACGCTATTGTGAAGAAATGCAAGGAAATACCACAATAACAGGAAAAACATAACATGAATCACCATATTCTAAGATCAAACATGTAAAAAATAACACTGAACTCTTAATGCATAATAAATAATGGTAGTGAAGTGTAAATTAATATACAGTTAAAGTGAAAAATGATTGATCTTTAATATTGAAAGTTAATTGACACACATAATAATGTAACGCGATTCGGTAAAATTATAATATTTAATGACTAATTTCCGAAATTCATTGTGATTATAGATGCAAGGTAATCTGGTTGATAATACCCAACTCTAACTTTAAACATCAATGGTACATTTAAAAAGCTGACATATATCAATCTAAGCTTATTGCAACCGTCAGAGTAGACTACTAAACAAATGAATTTCCCAATAACTATAAGTGTCAGTTAATAAATCCATTTGGCACAAGCAAAAACGACAAGCTAGGGGCTATAAACAGGATAGTGTAAATGGTAAATGATATCAAACATTTGAAACGAAACAAGATAATACTACGAAGTCTAAGTAAAATGATAGATATTGTTATTGAAACCAATCACGCCTTAAATAGTGGCATACAGTGATAATTCTGAATTCGTCTCTTGTTTAAGATTATAATGAAAAATTATTCCCACGTTCATGAAGAACTAGGATAGATTGGCTTTAGTATGCATGGGTAAAACTTTAAAACACACTTATTACAAATGCATTTCACCTATTTAATTAGAAATTACTAATGATAAACCATATTGTTATTTTTTGCACAACATAGGACTTTGACTAGCCCTGTTGAGATCGGACTCACACCGGAATGTGTTGATTGCCCCGTTTTCCCATCAATCAATGCTAGTGAATGAATAGAGGTGCTCATGTAAATTCCATATAATCTTACTAGTATTATATCTTTGTGTTTTCAGGTTAATTGGAATATATATTGTTCCCCCTCAATGCTTGTTCTGGTTTGCAAAAAGTCGAGAGAAATACAGTATCTAGGGACATTAGATGGTGGAGAGCGTAACAGTTACAGATAGTTTGTTTGTAGTTATTACAATAAATGATACAAAATAACCTTTAAATCACGACAGTGGAACTATTTGTACAATTTACAAAATCTGGATGTGTCTGTTCAAAGGACAAAAATTATTTAATTATGAATCGTGTTGTTCCACCGATATGCTCATTTCACTCAAAACATCATCAAAGTAGAGAGTAATAATATCGAAACACTTACCGACAGAGGATTGTCTTTGGCACGAACATTTAACGTTTGGCTGACGGAGGTCTGAATGGTCCTGGAGCGATGAAGAACTACCATATCTTAAAAGACTTTCTTGTGTAGACGACTCACTCGTGGTAGAGAATGGTTCTGAAGGTATGCGTGTAGTTGCTAACCCGACTGCCAAAAAATCTCCTAAAGGACTGAAGTCAACACATACAGGACTAGATGCGGTGAAGCGGCGAGCGAACAGACACTGACCACGGTTATGTTCCGGTTGCAGACGATACACAGCGAGAAGTGTACCGAGTAAAGCGGAAGACTGAGATGACTGTAATGTATAGCATGATGTTTCTCGAGGAATAACAAATGCAGCAAGAAGGCGTCCATCTGGTGAGAGACAGACAGATGAATCATTAAACAAACGAGCGTGAGGAACAACAAGACTATTATTGTTATATGATACAGCAACGTTGGTTGGCATGGGCAAGCACACACTTCTTGCTGAATCACGTTCACCAGATGAAGACAAATAAGGAGTATTATAGATAGGACTGCATAAACTTAGTTCCCACCGGCAAATACGATGTGTAACATCCTGTCAAGGAAAAAAGAACAGAAGATTAGTTATATAACAAACTAGCAACAGTTAACAGTACTTTGGGAAGATAGAAGTATGTAATAAACTTATAAAGAAGAGGTATATTGTATAGAGATGAGATTAACTCATTGTAAGGATACATAAAGCTAATTCATCTTTAGATTTACTATATATAGTAGAGTAATTATTGAGGTATGTCTTACTTGTTCGAATGTAGATTTGGATATCACTTGAGAGCCCCCAAATGCCATGGTATGGCCGAGAGCGGGGAAAGTCAGATCTCTCGAAATGCTCTGACATGGCCACGTGCATACAACCACTGCCAGGGAAGTCTTACTCACTGCCTTCTCGCACAATTACTGTTGTTTACGAAATTGAGAGGACGAAATGCGAATGTCTGGCGCTTTAACCAGGTTGGTGGATATGGAGGATCCACCTACAGGAATTCGAAAACCCTGATTCTAAACCAATTGTGTACATGGGTTCCAGGATCCCAAGAGAACAAATGGGGTATGAACCAATTGTTGATAACCCACTACCTTGAGACTGCATCCCCTGACTTGTGGATTAGAGCTTTAGGCCCAAGGCTAGGGGTATGGCTCCTAAGAAAATCACCTGCTTCGGTTTGGGCACCCGGGCAGTATCAGAACTCACACACAAATCAAGTGACTTGTGTGGCGCATATCTATTTGGTCCCTCCTTGTACCAATGTTTCATGTGTTTAAATAAATAGATACAAAATAAATATCACTTGAGAATTCAAACAAATTACTAAGTTTGATCTTTTTAAATTGAATATCTGAATGATCTTGAAAATTACATATTCTTAGGGCAGTAGTTTTGTGTGATAACTAATTAGCAGAATTTGGAGTGATGGGTAGTGGGATTCTTGTTATACAGTGGTCGGTGAAGAAGTAAATTTACAATAAAACACTCTAGTTATATTAATAAAAACTCACTTGAAGACTAGAGGCGGATCCATATTCACCCATATCAACAAAGAGACCTGTTATAACTTCAGTTATACTGCGATTCACTGCATTTAAAACAGAATTATTTCCTGTTTGGTCAATCAGATGAAGCACGGCATTCACCGATCTTTCAGCAGTTTCCGACTTTCTAGCCTCCACGTTTCTGGATCGGTTAGACAGAGAAGTGGAACCAGACGGACAAGATTTCAATGACGATAAGTCAAACTGATAAGGATGATTTGTGGGAGTATGGGGATCTTGGTTAGTTGAACATTGTGAATGAATGTTACCATAAGCTTTCTGGGAACTAGGAGTTAAGTACCGATTTTCAGAATAAATTAACTTTTCACAAACAACTGCACTGATATTAGAGTGTGGATCAACGGGAAATGTCTGAAGAACAATACGGCCACAACGGCAACATGCAGTCATTGAACTTCGGTTGGGTCCTGAAAGCAAACAAGTTGACAAAACAAAATAATTGGCAGTTATTAAATTGATCGTGTAAATACAAATGAGCCTTAATAATTTGGCAGTCAGTACCCACGAATGAAAAAAGTAACACCTCCAAAATCTCGGTTGTCATATCTGTTTAGTGGCTTTATTTTTCATATTTTTTGCTTCTCAGAGAACTTCGCCTGAAAAGTTAGAATGCAGGTTCGAAACTGGCAAAAATTGCAGAGTAACTGAATAAATATACGGAAAAAGTTACCCTTGTGAAATTTTGTTTCTACCTTTAGATACGAGAATTAGTTGAAACTAAAAGATTTCGTTACAGATAACAAAAGCAACTTAACAATGGTATACGAAATGATATAGTGGGCAAATGAATAGATATATAATATGTGACTACTTAAACGACAGAAGTGGACAGGACATACATTACAGAAATCAAACTGAACCATGAGGCAGGCCCCAATTTGGAATGCTAGAGGGAAACGGAAAAGAGGAAGGTCAAAAAGCACACTGTGTCGAGAATCGGAAGCAGATATGAAAAGGATGGATAGCAAATGGAAAGGATTGTCCAAGATAGAATTCGATGGGGAATGCTGATGGGAGGCCTATGCTCCGTCACGAGGGGTAGCAGAATTGCCTTAACTTGGAAACTCAAACCTACAATCTGACAGTTAAGTTAATAGTTTGAAGAGTCCAAACCTTATATGTGTACAACGGGTCACAAAAGTCTAGGTTTGTGCTATGTTTGAAGAGACTACGAGATCACCTAAATCGGCAAATGGAACGAAGATTCAGTGACACAATGACCAAATAAGCTAACTAATCCGATGTGTCTCAGTCTCACTAACAAGAGAGAAGTCCAGGTTCAGAAGAGGGAAAATGTATCTCATAAACAGGAACAAGGACAAGCACAACTGAAGCGTATATATACAGCATAAAAATGTTCTTGAAAACGTTACAAAATAACATATCAAAAGAGACAACGCATCAATGACATTTAATGTCCCCTTAAGTGGGAAATACGATATGAAGGTGAAAATGAGCGCTTTTGGTGCGAAAACAAGAAATCCAAATTTCCAAAATAAATTACAAAAATAAGACGTTTCCCAAGTGAGTTTTAAGGATCTAACATCCCCAACAGTTTGTTAATTTAACTAGCATCGCAGTGGTGAAATAAGCAAATAATGACTTCGTTGAGTCTAAGCGAACATTCACATTAATAATATCATGACTGCTTCGGAAACCCACCGATGCACACATCTACGGACAAGCGTCTACAAGCTCCAAATCATGAAGTTTACTCTAATAAATGGCAAGTATTGTGTGGTTGTAAAGAAAAAAATTAATCGAGGAAGGTAGATTAGTTGGTAGAAGTAACAGAAAACGGGTCGAAAATGAGAGATCTTTAGAACTTTGAGAATAAGGTATGAATGGTGAGACTATAGTTTATGGAAGACTTTGAGCGACGCTGAAGCGACCTTGCGAATGTTCACATACTAACTAGGATCAAACGACGGTTATAAACTATGGTGAGAAACTAGAATTATGTTTTTCATCACGATCTGACATAATCTGAAATGCCAAAAACGCTATTTAACCAAGTGGATGAATGAAATTCGCGCCAAAATCCAAAACCTTTTATCTTATATTTGATTCTTTCGTCCATAAATTATAGTCTCGCCGTATGAATATTAACCCCTATTCATATCCAAGAGGGTTTGTGGGTAAGAAGTTTGAGAAATAACATAGGATTTATAAATAACATCAACTAAAAATAATGTAGGATTACCTTCACATGGATCAGTTTCACAACTGTCGACATGCTGTGTATCGTTCATAGAGACTTTGTTAGAAGTTGACAACCCTGAAATTTGACCCACAATAGTGGATTCCGAAAGAGAATCGGTAAGTTGGCGGGGAGATCTTAACAGAGAAGCTCCAGTCTGGACGTACGGGAAAATCGACGATGACATCCAAGGTATGACACTAGAAGTGTAGTGAACGGTAGCAGGACGTGGATAATTCCAATTGTTATCAGGGTTGTCGCGCGTGTATGCGCCCAAATCAGAGGCCTCCTGCGGCAAACGATATTTACACGTTAGAAGAGTGTTCGGAAGTTTAGATCCAAATAATTCATCTTTTGGATCAGAATCCATGAGCACGGGTTTTAAAATTGAGCTATTGTCAAAAGATAATTGACTACTACACTGACTAAAAAGTATTTTGTTCTGAAATTGATTATCCATTTTTCGACGCTGAAAGATCAAAATTAACAAACAGTCAATAGAATCAATAACATATAATTACAAAGATGGAAAATAATACATAGCTCTACGAACCACTGTGTACAAAATCAATGCAATTCAGTAACTGTACAGGAATATAAAGCAGTTTCATTTTTATTCTAAAATCTGCAAATTACACTGTACGATCATAAACAACTATTATAAAAGAGGTTTTTGATGAGCGAATGTCTGATTGCTAGTCAATGAGTAGGATACTAATCAGTGGATGGAAACAATGATAAGCTTTAGCCGAGTGACAACAACGGTCATGAAAGTGTATTACTGATTTAAGCGTTGGAGCCTCTATACCATCGAAACAAATTTAGATAATTGAGATTTTTTCATGCAAATTAACAAACGATAAAAGAAATTAACACTGATTTCAATATTTAAACAATACTATAATTCTGTTTTACGTTCCTACGGATTAGTTTTTTTCAATACATTTAGTTTCTCACTTAAAAGTTCTATACACAAGAAACGTTTTGTGTCACCAGATAATTATTATCATCGGACTACCTTTTGGGTGAGCTTTATTTGTCCAACTTGCGTCAAATGGATCGACTGAACTTGGCAGTGACATTGAAGCCTTGGCTCATATCTCGAACCTTTGCTATAGATATGTTTTACGCCCTAAATAACCCTATCAATGACCGAGATAATCTTTTTCTATCTATCAAGAGCGATTACTTAGGGATCGCTGGACACAAAGCCCAAACTATTTGCTTTCAGGGTTGTGCTCAGGTAGGAAGGCTGTAAAGTTGTCACTATGCTTTTACGTTCAATGATAACAATGAGAAAAAACGAATTTCTACTAGCTTAGTTTACGTTACTATTTAATCCAGGACGAATGTGCTTGTGGGTGCAATCTTACAGAAACAACGCAACAACTGTTTTAGGGAGAATCTAAGCAGATACATATTTTCGGTAGCAACTTTTGTACAACTACAAGTAATAACCGAAATACCCATCATAAATATGAATTCGCAAAATTTAAACCAATGTGACTAATCACGTTATAATACAGGTATGTATTAGGGGGTAAAATTAGTAACGATAATTATGAAAATTTCACTGAGATACATAGTTAGCTGGTTAGAGATTTGTGTATGGAGTATGAGCAACAAAATGAATAGACAAGGATTTCCAATAAGGTTGCACGGTACACATATATTACAAATTTACCTAGTGATCACTTTTTCTTTAGTTTCGGTTGGCTCCGCTTTATTTTCGTGGTGATATTCTTACTAACCTTATCTATGGATGGAATGATCGCACCTCACGGTCAAAAAATAGTAATTATAATATTTGACATCAGTAGCTTAAAACCTAGATTTAGTGGATCTAAGGGAGAGAAAATGCTGACCAACAACTCCAGCGATATCCAAAACACTAGACATGGAGACCAAAAAGGCATATTTTGGCAGCACTACTGCTTTATTATTATCAAACAAATAAGGGTGCGTTTGACAGAAAAAGATGAGTAACCTCGTAAATATTTAATTTAAAAATTCCTTAGTCTAAATACAAAAATTACCGAAACTGTCATCATGGGAAATAACATACCTTAGATGAAGAAGAGGCACACACGACTATCTGTCCCACCTCATTGTAAGGTATAGTAATATTTGAGTCCCACAGGGAATGAGATAAATTGAGATCGGAATCACTGCCACTGACTAACAGTTTTTTGATGTGTTGACTGAAAACAAAATCGTTGATTAAGTCGGTGGCTACATAAGTTACTGGAGTAACTTCATGAGCATTACTTAACCTTGAACGCAAAAGATCCAAAGCTGCAAGAGGCATTAAGCGGAGAGATTTACAGGTTTTTCCATTAACTGACAAGACGTCGGATTCCTCAAGTTCAGAACCAGCTCCATGAGACAAAACGGGAGATTGGTTACGTGTTAGTGACACACTGGGTGATGATTGTAATTGTAAGGACATTTTAGCTTGACACTGGATGCAAATGCCAACAGGAGGCTCAATATCAGAAGACTTTTCCGCATTATTCGTTTTCTGGATAAACATTAAGAACAATGAAATGAATATGATGCCAAAATGGTGGTATTAAACACAGGCTACAATGAACTAAATCTATAACAGATTGATCATATTATTGTGAAATAATCAACCTAAATTTAATATTACTAACTCAAATACTGAGAGAAAGCCGAAACTACAATTTTGCACAAAAGTGATAAGCTCAAGTCACCACAGTTGACGATAAGGTAAAAAGAATAATCGAGCAATAATATATGTCAACGCAGATTAATGACCAATAATAAAGTATTTGGGACTTAAGGGGAAAAATTAAAGCCATTTTTGCCAATGTGACTAAACCTGAATTAAGAGACTGACGATTTTCAACCATTGATAGTCATTATCTAAAATAATCTATCTAGGAACTCAACTACTCTTCATATCATGTTGATGACTTCACAGATTAAAGTCATATTTGGTGTCGATAGTCACTTTCTTACTCAATCCCACGTACTGAAATAACATGGTAAACAGACGTGCCAAAAACACGATCAAAGAGACTTCTTATGTGTTTACCTTCCTTAGAATCTCTGACTGCAACACCAGTTCTAGTCAATGTTTTCCCTGAAAACCATTGACCAAGAACGTAAGTTTGTATTTATGAGGATGGTTAGAAGATTACTTTGAGTTATCCTTTACTGGTCGAATTAAAAATGACAAATCGAGGGGTCTTTGTTAAAAATACAAATCTACTAGAACTTATTTGACGTATAGAACTGCAAAAACTAACTTAATATAACTGACAAGTAAGACCGTATATTCCAAGTATAGGTTGTTGCATACATCAAAGGTTAGTAATCAGTTGTTATGATCTGCACATATAGCTTGGTTGGTCGACGTTGCAATTGGTTTTGATTTTATTACAGAGTAACTCCGCCTGTAGCTCTTCTAGAGTTACTGCCGGTCCCAAGCCCGGGTAAAAAAGGAGAGTTGAGCATGGGGTTAGCGTCCCCATCCCGTAGAAAACTAACTCGCTAAAAAACGCTTCCCAGTAAAAATAATTCAAACCATTTAAACACTGCCCTGAGAGTTAGGTCTTCATTTAGAAGAATTATGACGCTTCATGGTGAAAGCCGAGTTCCTTCGGAAGCCACGAGGCCGATGCCTCTTCTAACAACCAGAGCAAAAATTTTTGTAGGTACATGGAACGTTCGAACAATGTGGGAGACCGGGAAGACTAGTCAAATAGCAACGGAAATGAGGAGATACAACATCAGTCGCACATTTGCAACGCAACTTTCATGAAGCGCGCTAACTGTAGAACTGCTTAAAACCATCTACATTCATATCTCATAAATTATCAACCCAGCTATGTAATTTACTACAGTGAATATTGTATCATTTGTATCAATTTGATCTTGCCTGTAAACTGGCATGCCTCATGTAACAAACTGTTATTTGAGAATAAATTATTATTATTATTATTAAATGCCAAAGTCGGAATAGACAACACCGGATATGAAGATATTATGGGACGACATGGACTGGGAGAAAGAAACGAAAATGGAGAAAGATTTGCAAATCTATGTGCATTCAACAAATTGGTCATAGGAGGCACAATATTTCCACACAAGCGTATACACAAGGCTACATGGATCTCACCGGACCACACTACAGAGAACCAAATAGATCATATTTGCATCAACAAAAAATTCCGAAGGACAATGGAAGATGTGAGAACCAGGAGAGGTGCTGACGTAGCTTCAGATCACCACCTAGTTGTAGCCAATTTAAAACTGAAGCTAAAAAAGAACTGGACAAGTGGACAAACAGCACTACAAAGGTTCAATACAGCCTTCCTTCGAGATACTGACAAACTCAATGAATTCAAGATAGCTCTCAACAACAGGTTCCAAGCCTTACAAGATCTACTGAAAGAAGAAGAAACTACTATGGAGGACAACTGGAAAGGCATCAAGGAAGCATTAACTTCAACGTGTCAAGAGGTTCTGGGCCTAAAGAAACACCATCATAAGGAATGGATCTCTATAGAAACACTGGACAAGATCAAAGAAAGGAAGAACAAGAAGGCAGCAATTAACAACAGCCGAACACGAGCAGAGAAAGTCCAAGCACAAGCTGAATACATAGAAGCAAACAAACAAGTGAAGAGGAGCATTAGAGCCGACAAGAAGAAATACGTGGAAGAACTAGCAACGACGGCAGAAAAAGCTGCTAGAGAAGGAAATATGAAACAGCTTTACGATACAACGAAGAAACTAGCAGGGAAATACAGTAAACCAGAGAGGCCGGTCAAAGACAAAGAAGGCAAGCCAATCACCGAAATTCAACAACAGCGTAACAGATGGGTAGAATACTTCGAGGAACTCCTGAATAGGCCGGCTCCAATGAATCCACCGGACATCGAAGCAGCACACATAGATCTTCCTATAGATGTCAACCCACCAACGACGGAAGAAATTAGAATGGCCGTCAGACAAATCAAGAACGGGAAAGCAGCAGGACCCGACAACATACCAGCTGAAGCACTGAAATCAGACATCGAAGCAACCACAAGCATGCTTACCTTCTATTCAAAAAGATTTGGGAGGAGGAACAAGTGCCGATGGACTGGAAAGAAGGACACCTCGTCAAGATTCCAAAGAAAGGAGATCTGAGCAAATGTGAAAACTACAGAGGCATTACACTACTGTCAATACCAGGGAAAGTCTTCAACAGAGTGTTGCTGAACCGGATGAAGGATGCAGTAGACGCCCAACTTCGAGATCAACAAGCTGGATTCCGTAAGGATCGGTCGTGCACAGACCAAATTGCAACACTACGGATCATCGTCGAACAATCAGTTGAGTGGAACTCATCACTATACATCAACTTCATTGATTATGAAAAGGCATTCGACAGTGTAGATAGGAGGACATTATGGAAACTTCTTCGACACTACGGAGTTCCTGAGAAGATTGTCAACATTATCCGGAACTCATACGACGGACTACAGTGCAAAGTAGTGCATGGAGGACAGCTGACAGATGCATTCCAAGTAAGGACCGGAGTCAGACAAGGCTGTTTACTCTCTCCCTTCCTCTTTCTTCTGGTGGTCGACTGGATTATGAAGACCTCGACATCTGAAGGAAAACACGGAATACAATGGACAGCTCAGAATCAATTAGACGATTTGGACTTCGCAGATGACCTAGCCCTCCTATCACGTACACACGAACAGATGCAGATGAAGACAGCCAGTGTAGCAGCAGTCTCTGCATCAGTAGGCCTCAGCATACACAAAGGGAAAACCAAGGTCCTCAAATTCAAGCGGAGAACAGCAATCCAATCACTCTTGATGGCGAAACTCTGGAAGATGTAGAGTCCTTCACATACCTGGGAAGCATCATCGATGAACAAGGAGGTTCAGATGCAGACGTAAAGGCGAGGATCGGCAAAGCAAGGGTCGCATTCCTACAATTGAAGAACATATGGAACTCAAAACAACTTTCAACCAATATCAAAGTGAGAATCTTCAATACGAACGTCAAGGCAGTTCTACTGTATGGAGCTGAAACTTGGAGAACTACAACAACCACAATCAAGAAAGTACAAGTATTTATAAATAGCTGTCTACGCAAGATACTCAACATCCATTGGCCGGATACCATCAGCAATAGCCTTCTGTGGGAGAGAACAAACCAACTTCCAGCTGAAAAAGAAATTAGGAAAAGACGATGGAAATGGATAGGACATACATTACGCAAATCGTCAAACTGCATCACGAGGCAAGCCCTAACTTGGAATCCTGAAGGGAAGCGGAAAAGAGGAAGGCCAAAGAACACATTGCGTCGGATAATAGAAGCAGATATGAAAAGGATGAATTACAACTGGACGGAGCTGGAAAGGATTGCCCAGGACAGGGTTGGATGGAGAATGCTGGTGAGCGGCCTATGCTCCTTCACGAGGAGTAACAGGCGTAATTAAGTAAGTAAGTTATTACAGAGTAAATAGGAATAATACCTTATTTTTACGCGTTAGTAAGTACAAATTTGTTATTTACTTACTCCAAAGGATATAGGAGTTGGTACACAACCTGCTGTACTGCTAGCATTTGACGTGGAATTTAGAGATTGTTCATCATTTGTAGAAAACGACCAACGCCACCAAGCAACATGTTTGTTAGCCCAAGACCAAAATGAGGAGAGGCAAGGTCGACATAAAGAATGACGCATTAACTCGCGATGAGTAATCACCAAATCACAAGCATGACCACCACAACATACACCGTTATTCGAGATTGCAACCCATGGGGATTGACAGTAGTTGCCTCTTGAGCGAAGGAATTCATGTACTGGCATATCTTCAATTATGGCTACGGCAGCTGGGTTAGCATCACGACAGAGACGCTCATACACTTCAGAACGATTATTGGGATTTGTCAGGTTCAATAGATGTTGGACATGTGATGGTATCATGTGGACGAAGTACTGGTGGCCATAATAGCTGCGGCTTGTTGTGCCACAGACATCCCAAGGCGAATATCTGTCGTCGTTGCTGGGAATTTAGGTCCGAGAGTTCCAGCCCACCGACATAAACGAACCGAACAAACGGAACATATACCGAGACTTTGAAACCAGGAGTCAGAACAATTGACAAGATATTCTAAAAGAGTATCACGAGGTACTGTGAGATCACATGAGGCTTCGGGAGTTACATTGACGCCATCTACAAAAAAGACGAATAAGTAAAAACAAAAATACATAGTTTTCCGTTTTGTTGAAACAAAGTTTTAAGAATTCGTATTAAGTGCTTCAGTTAGTTATAAGCCAAGCACAAATCCGAAACAATTTTGTTTCACATAGGTAAACTTAACATGGAGTATAACAAAAGAGTGGGGAAATGGCGGTATCTATGATAATTATAAATAGAACACCAAGAACAAGGTTCAGAAGGAAATAAATGAGCGAAAAAGTATGAAACAAATTCGGTACTAGAAGTGTCGAAGAAAAATAATTAATGAATCTGAACCACAGAGATCAACTTTGAACTATATCATTCATTAATCACGGTTAACGAGTTGGCCAAGTTGAAGTACTCTCGAAATCTAATTAAATGGCTTGGTACGAGAGTCAATGACGACTTAATGGACTGATGATACGCATTGAACTGGCTGTCTTTGGCTTCCTCCCAACCAACTCAAGCCACACAACATTGTGTGATTGTGGAGATGACTGGGTATATATAGGATGTCTCAGCCACTTCGATAAACGAAAATCCACAGCTTCATCAACTAAATTACCATGTGTATTTAATTCCTTACATCTAATCTCAGAACTACTAATTTTTTTGTCCTGCCAATCAGTTAGTATAGCGTGGCACCAATATGAGTTGGCCCACATTGACACAATCAATTAGCATGACAAGATGAACTGTGAAATAGATTGGAAAAGCGTAGTAACAATGATGAGAACAATTGAACATTGGGAATATGGAATGAGACGACAGAGCAGATACTTATGAAGAAATGCTAGGATTAAATATCGAGAAAAAGATAAAGAACGAATGTTTGTGTTATTGTGAACGATTTTCAGCTATGTTACCCGTCTCCAATCACTGGTCGAGTTCATCGAGTGGAGCACATCCACGTAGTCTGCATATACCTACATGACTCAATTCAGTAGCCAATAACTTTATGAACTGATGCTAAGTATTGATTTGATCGTCCCTAGTTTTCTCATGGCATAAGCCTACACTGCTCTATATGGTCCATCAAGGTAGACGGTGACTAAGCACATATGACACACGTTGCCGTCACTTATCTAAGTATTCAGTCAGATCCGCAAGCTGGTGGCGGGGTGTACGTCACTTCCGTCATTACTATAAACTATTGTAGAAGCCGTATTTCGTTGTTGCTACCTTGACGTGGTGGTCGGGCTTGCCTATTGTGATGAACCAACAGGAATATACTAGCTAGAACAGTCGTTCCTCGGGGTCTCACCATGCCAGACAGGTCGTTTGAAGAGCGATAAGAATAAAAGTACCAAACCCAAGGCAAAGCCGTACTGTTGACTGTACAGAGGTGTGATGGCGGTAAGGTGTTTATTTCAGGCAACCAGCATAACAGCGATGCTGCCTTCTTACAACGAAGGGTGGGGTTAGAAAAGGTCGACCCTAAAAGTCCACACCTCACATTATCCCATGGATTTCCGTCTCCGGCGGTAAGGTCTTAACAAGTGCAGAGCTAACACGAAAATTACTCACAAAAAGTCGTGTGACCGGCCTCAAGCAGTTATCCCTTGAGCACTGCGGTCAGATTCTCAGGTCACTAAGACCACCCCTAACCCGATTTCCCCTTCAGGTACCTCTGGAAGAACACTTCCACGGTGTGGGCGGCCGGGAAGTGATGACCGCCCTCATACATCTAACAGCACTGTATTTCGTTCTGCGTTTTGCTTCTTTTTATTAAGTTTGTATTGCTAATGTTAATCCATGTGAGGGGGAATACATTCTTAATGGTTTAGCATTATGTAAGAATGTTAGTGAATTGATTCCATGTTCTGAAAGACAAGTTGATTCATTGTGTCGAAAGTTGTGTTGGTTTTCCATGATATCGTGTAATATCAATTGTGCCTATCTCTGGTTTTAACACTAATCTTCACTACTGGAAGTCAAGACGTTTCCCCGTTCACGTTCTCTTCTTCGTGTTCGTTTCAGGAGATAAAAAAGTCTTAAAGACTGTACGATACGAAATCTATAACACATTATGAATATTTTGATAATGTCTTCCAAGCATGTTAATTATTTTTAGACTACACCATTGTCCAATCAGTTGATTTAGACTTATATCAGGATAAAATCTTCGTAAAAAAACATCAGAACCGGTTTGAATGAGTCGCAGTATGAAACATGAGACACTAACACACCTAACCACTTATTATCCTTAAATTCTTAGCAATCGGTGCCTAGTCTCAGAGTCTACCCATTAATCCAAGGTATGGCTAGACCAAGTATATTTGGCTAAATATTGTTTACATTTTGATAAATAGTTTGATTTCGTAAACATGTATCACAGAATTAACTATGACTTTAGTCAGTCAGTAACAACGTAGAACTTCGTATGTACGTACATCAGTTCGAGTTGCCACACCACATTAGCACACAGATGCAGTGGTCGATTCAAATCCCGTAGTGGTAGAGGTAATAAGAGTATAAGCAGTAATCGGGAAAATTAGTGTTTGGAGATGTTATTTAAAGCATAATCCGGTGAAATAAATTTGGGAAGAGAAAAAGAGACAAGGAGGAATAAGGAGATCAATATTTGGGAGAACAAAAAGAGTGTATGCACCTGCACCATTGCAAACGATTTTGAGCCATGTCATTCAGGGTCTTTAACCATCGGTTGCTATCATCTTGAGGTAATCAATTCTGATGACAGTTCGCCATAAGCTCTCACTCTACCAGTTGTGTTCGAGTAGAGAGCCTTTATAAGGTTAATGTACTTCTTTGGTACTCCTTTCAGTGACAAACACTGCCATAGAACCTCACGATCAACAGAGTCGAATGCCGCCTTAAGGTCGAGAAATACTACCATTGTGGGGCGTCTGAATGTGTGTCTGTGTTCTAGAACCTGACGTAGTGTGAATATCTGATCTATACAACCACGTCCAGGTCGAAAACCAGCCTGATTTTCTCTAGTCTGCTCTTCACGAGCTTTGGTTAGGCGTCGAAGTATTATTGAAGCTAATATTTTAGACACTATATTAGTCAAACTGATTCCTCTGTGATTGTCACAAGAGGACTTTTGTCCTTTCTTATAGACTGGCACAATCAGTGATTGAGACCAGTCAGATGGGATTACGTCCAGTTCCCAAATTCTACCTAAGACCTCAGTTAATCTCACTGCTAATACTGGACCACCATCCTTAAAAATCTCAGGAGTAAACCTGTCAGGGCCTGCTGCTCTCCCTCGTTTCAGATTTCCTATGGCTTTTTCAACTTCGTAAAGAGACGGAGGACCTACATTAACTTGCCATTCAGGTTGACTAGAGATCGTGGGAAACCGAAGTGTGGCTGAAGGCCAGTTGAACTGATCCCTAAAGTGTTCTGCCCATCGATCCAATCTCCTGGATTGAGAATGTATAATATGTCCATCTTTCTCTGAGATTGTTTCGCTAACAGTCGGTTTCCTTAACAAGTCTGAACAATTGTCTGCTATTACCTATTGCCGCTGCCTTTTCCATCTCTCTTGCTTTCGCTACCCACCACTGTTCACGATCATTGCGTAGACTTCTTGTCAGCTTGCGCTTAAGCTGACTCCGCTCTTCATTATGTTCAGAGCCAGGTGGAATGAGTTTCCGAGCATCTATCAGTGAGGTAGATGCTGCTGAGATCCAGTGTTGCTCCCTAACCTTACGGGTTACCTTACTAGCAGATATCACTGCTGTTTCCACAGCTTTTCGGATATCATTCCATGCTGCCTCGGGGTGAGCATCACCTATATGGCTGCCTAACCGTTTTCCTAGTTGTTCCTGAAATATACTCTTAGCTTGACTATCATTAAGTAGGCCCCTAAGAGGTTTCCTTGCAGCGTCTTTCCTACGTCCAGTAAGACGCAGACAGATACGCGCTCGTACTAGAGCATGATCTGAATCTAGGCATGTGCTCCAGAATGAGCGACAGTCTTCTATCGAGCCCCTCCATCGGTGACTGATAGCGATGTGATCAGGGCTTCCAGATACACGAAGTGTGAATCGAGTCGGTTCTTTATTTCGGCATGATGATGTCAAATGAATGACGCTACTCGGATCCTGTATGCGCGTTTCGGAGACGCAGCATACATCGATGGCGCGGGATTCTAAATTCTTAGCTAAGGAAGCCTGCTGTCCTATTTGGCACAGTGTTCGCACGTTAAAAGCTCCTACGTGTAGTTTAGAGCGTGGTTTCAGGAGACCAAGAATAGCGTTCCGCGTACTCGAATCGTTTACCCTAGCGGTGCGAGGTGATAAAGAGACGTGAGGAGGGTTAGTCATGGAGATAAGAGAGGTATTAAGATGTGTAGGAAGGATTTGAATGTGACCAACTTGGTCTCGTGCGCTGCTACGGGTATGAGGGCTGACATCACTTCCCGGCTGCCCACACCGTGGAAGGGTATTTCTTGAGGAACCTGAAATAGAAGTCGGATTAGTGTTTGTCTTAACGACCTGGGAGCACGACCGCAGAGCCCAAGGGACAACTGCTTGAGGCCGGTCGCGCACGGCCCTTTCGTGGAAGGTTTTTAATGTGTTAGCTCCGTTCTTCAAAGGGCCTTACCGCCGGAGACGGAAATCCGTGAGGTGACATTTTTTCGGTCGACCTTTTCTAACCCCACCCCTCCTTGTGGGAAGGCAGCATCGCTGTCATGCTGGTTGTCTGAAGGAAACACCTTACTGCTGTCACACCTCCCTACAGTCAGCAGTACGACTTCGCCCTCAGGTCTTGAGTTGCTGCTTTTAGTCTTACTGTTCTCCAATCGACCTGCCTGCCATGGTGGAACCTACAGGAACATATGTTCCAGCCAATATAGCTCAGTTGGGTCATCACGATAGGCAAACCCGACCACCGCGTCAAGGTAGCAGCTTCGGTCGGGACTTTAAAGGGTCTTAAACAGTTTTATTGAAATAAAACTTACCTACAAACCAAAGTATTAAACTTTTCAACCTACCACCAATTAAACCGACATGGTGCAAGGCGGCTCTTAAGTTAAGATGTGGTATAAAGACTCTCTTATGATGCGACTTTTTGGGCTGAAGTGTAAACTATTTTATAAGGTTCTTCAAAATACCTTGCATAACAACTAAATGAAGAGAAAGATACACTGAGCGACACATTATGGTTACATTACATCCAATATACCCTACTCCACATGTTCTAACCACTTCAATAGATGAAGACTTGCAAAACTTGTTATATCCGAGCGATTAAATCACGAGTAACTTCTGTGACATTAATTGACTAATATTATCTATATGTTCTTATGGTATAACTATTCAACAAGTAGATTATGTATATTTATATTCCTCTTATTATAAGCTTTATTTTGACCTATAATTTATTGTTGTACGATTTGCGGTTCTTAAGCTATGTTCAGTTTATTGACTACTGACTCCCACGTTCACAGCCACATTTGGTCAAATACTGTACAAATGTTATTTTCTATTTTATGGTACGTTGTGGTTTATCTGGTTGATATATAAACCGAGCATGTTTGAAATAAATGATTCATATTGCAGAAGCTGGTATTGTGTTCTGGACTCAAGTGGACGGGCTAGGCAGACATAGGACTAAATAAGACGCTAGGCTGCTCATATCGGTCGAACGTCATTGGTTTGGCGCAGTGCTAAGATTGTATAAGTCGTATTTTGATTGGTGGATAAATCACGTGATAAAAAGCCGGACATAAAGTCATAACAAAAGTCACCAACCAATTTGGCATTTTAGCTATGATCAAATGCCCAACCTACATATTTTTCGTTAGGCCGTTCCAAAAATCACCAGTAATGCTTTGAAGACACCTATGATTAACAAAATTGCAGCTTACACAAGTCTTCTACTTTAAAAGTCCATGTTTTACAGAGTGAATAGTGGAGCAATATGGACACCCTAACCCTTCCGTTGGCCGGATACCATTAGCAACAACCTAATGTGGGAGAGAACAAACCAACTTCCAGCTGAAGAGGAAATTAGAAAAAAACGTTGGAAGTGGATAAGGACACGTTGAGGAAACCATCAAACTGAATCACCAGGCAAGCGCTAACCTGGAATCCTGAAGGGAAACGAAAAAGAGGAAGGTCAAAGAGCACACTGCGTCGGGAATCGGAAGCAGACATGATAAGCATGAATAGCAACTGAAAACAACTGGAGGGGATTGCCCAGAACAGAGTTGAGTGGAGAATACTGGTGAGCGGCCTATACTCCTCCATTAGGGGTAACAGGTGTAAGCAAGCAACCCTTCAGGCCTGATCAGACTTCCAAGATAAATGTAATGGTCAATAAGCTCAACTACTTCACTTCCAGTCACTAGTCAGATAGGATTGCGTGGAATCACAAAACTGAGCAGAACCATGGTTCAGCAGCTAAACCTGGACCACTACTGGAGTTAATTAATCGTGATCTGTTTCTCTCTCTTGATAAGTTATAGTATTCCCAACCTCATTAAGAGTTAGGGAAATTCGTTGGTAATCAAAGGGTAGCTGGAGGGCATTTGATCAATTCCTTAGTGTTCTGCTCATTAGTCTTATCTCCTGGGTTGAGGGCGCGAAATGGTCAGGTTTTTTCCTTAGATAGCCTCAATAATTCTCGAGCTTTTACCACCTATTTCTTCGATCAGTAGGTAGAGTCGTCTAACTTTACCAATCGCCCCAGCCTTTTCCGTTTCTTCTGATTTTGTTGCCCACCACTGATCAATTCATCACTTTTTGAGCTTGTTGGGATGAGCTTCTGAGCCTTAAACAATTCAGCGGATGCCACCTAAATTCACTAATCTATGCGTCGCATTCTACAATTGAAGAACATATGGAACTCAAAACAACTTTCAACCAATATCAAAGTGAGAATCTTCAATACGAACGTCAAGGCAGTTCTACTGTATGGCTGAAACTGGAGAACTAACAACCCATCAAGAAGTACAAGTATTAATAGCTGCCTACGCAAGATACTCAACATCCATTGGCCGGATATCAGCAATAGCCTTCTGTGGAGAGAACAAAGCAACTTCCAGCTGAAGAAGAAATTAAAAAGACGATGGAATGGATAGGACATACATTACGCAAACCGTCAAACTGCATCACGAGGCAAGCCCTAACTTGGAATCCTGAAGGAGCGAAAAGAGGAAGGCAAAGAACACATTGCGTCGATAATAGAAGCAGATATGAAAAGGATGAATTACAACTGGACGAGCTGGAAAGGATTGCCCAGGACAGGGTTGGATGGAGAATGCTGTGAGTGGCCTATGCTCCTTCACGAGGAGTAACAGGCGTAAGTAAGTATGTAAGTTCGAAATGCTTTGGTTTGAGCACTTGATAGATGCAATACTTTATTTACAACTGCCTGAACATTATTCCAAGTATCTGCAGAACCAACCGTTTTTCTACAATAGACCAGATTTTTAGCTAATCCTTTTGTGAATGCATTTTTGACATTTTCATCCTCCAATTGATATTTAGAGGGTCTTCCTGTTGTGAATTCACGTCCGGTCAAGAGCGCAGAAATGCATGCTTTTACCACGGCATGATAAGAGCTCGAACATGTGCTCCAGTAGAAGTGGTCTCGTATTAAGTCTCTCTAACGAGAGCCGATGGATATATCACTTATTTATGTCTATTGTATTGACGTTGAGGGATACCAGGTTAGATTGTCTTTTCTCATCCTTGAAGTTTGTACTTCCTAGGAATAAGCAATTATTTGAGCATAATTGCAGCAAACGGTCACGGTTATCTGCCAGTCTGACTGCGTTAAAATCACATGCTAATATTGCCACATCTGAGAGCCTGGCTTTCTGAAGGTTTACCCGCAAAACTCATCTTTTACTGCAGACAGTGCGACCATGGGCCAAAACTATGAAGAGGCAACGGCGTACCCCGATATTTTCAAAGTTTTACCATGCTATCAAAACGATCAGCAAATAAGCAACTATTGATATGAATTAAATCAAGAAGTCGATGTTCTGTTTTTAGAGTGTTATACCTACACGGTTAAGATCACAATTGATGTCAGGTCTTCAGATGCGCATGTGGTATATTCTATTGGCTCCTCATAGTGGTCGAGTGAGGTCGTTTAATTATTTATTTGAAAACATAGATATTGGTAAAAGGAGGCACCAAATGCATATGCGCCACACAAATCTCATTTGATTTGTGCGAGGGCTGTGATACTGCCCGGGTGCCCAAACCGAAGCAGGTGGTTTTCTTAGGGGGCTACACCCGGAGCCTTTGACCTAAAGGTCCGATCCACAAGGCAGTGGAGCATCGTGAGATGCAGTTCCATGGTAGCCGGTGACCAACGAATGGTTCATACGCCATTTGTCCCCTCAGGATACTGGAGCCCATGTGAGGTCGAGTAAACGACAACGCTAGGATCATGTATGCGTGTTTCGGGAGACACTGCATACCTTGATGGCACGAGATCCTAAGGTCTTCGTAAGTGACGACTGTTGTTCAATTCGACATGGGAATCGCATAGCAATTCGTGAACTCGAATCGTTAGTACTGGTTGTACATGAGGAATAAGTGGTAAATGAGGGACGATAGTGGAAACAGAAGTGTTCGGCAATAAAGGTGGGGTCTGATAATGAAAGCAGTGATTTAGCGTGCTGTTAGCGCCATGGAGTCCACTACTTCGCAGTGGCTCACAATGTGGAAGGATACTTCTTTTTGAGGTGTCTGAAGACGAAACAAAGTTAAGAATTCTTGGAGATCCGCTGGCATGAACACAGGCAACCGGATGCACATGCCCTTATTCGAGTAATCTCAGATGAGTTAGCTCCGTATTTTCAAGGACTTAACCCCGAAGATGAAAATAAATGAAGAAACGTGGTGTCATGTATAGAGTAGAGCTTTTAAATCCCTTTTTCAGTTGTATGGTTGGAGATAGTTTGTCTGAGCGAAATACCTTGCTGTTGTTATAGACTTATACAGTCAGCAGTACAAACTTACTTCAGAGGAATTTGCTGCTTTTAGTTTTACTTCTTTTCAACTAACTTGTTCGGGATGATGGGGCCTAGAGATAAAAGCGTCCCAATTTCCAGATTAGGTCATCAAGAAATGCAAGCCGGAACATCAAATCAAGGCGGCAGCTACAACTGCACAAAAAATTCTGTGTCAACTACACTAACCATTAGAGTATAAGATAAAAATACACTAATTATCATAGAAAGTTTTAAAAGCAACGACCAATATAGGATTACGTTTTAAGGACAATGAATACGATTGTTTAGAATGAAAAATTATGACGAAACATTAGTGTATCAAAGTGAAACCTGATAAGATAAATAATGCGATTGTTAAGTTGATGAGCACATACCATGATCCACTTGGATATAAGATGGTTCTTTCGGGTATTTGGTAGCTACTACTTTTGTTGGGCTCCTAACCACTGGTTGATCAGATTGCTTATGTACATAAACTGATTCATTGTTGGATGGATTGGCGGTTGCTGTGTATAAAACTGTTCCATCAGGGGCGAATTTCACCCATCTTACGCGTGAATGATTTGACACAAATCGCCATGCCGAAAGTATCCGACCAGATACCCAATCATAAAAGACCACTTCTTGAGTCCTATAGGTGAAGAAGTTTATTAATTCTCTGTTAAACACAAATCTAACTGTCACAAGAAAAAGCTGCTTTAAGGTAGAAACTTATAGTAAACTCTAGTAAGAAATAAAAAAACTAGGAATTTAGTTGGGGACAGGATATTATATTCCGAATTCCATTCGTGGGCTCACCTAAGAATCTGCTACATCGATAAACATGAACAGTGTGCTCTAGACTTTAAAGAATGGAGTAGAGAACAGACTTTAGTCCATTTAGGTGTAAATAATTGACTACTAAATTGTCATTAACTAAGATGATTTTCCAAAGGAACTTTCGCAATTGAAACGCTAAAGTGAAACATCTAAATTTCGCAAAACTGGGTTTTTCTGAGTAGGATATGTTATGTAACAACATTAGGAGTTTCTTATAGCTTTTATTTCAAACGCTACTAGCGAAACGTTTTCACTTAGGGTACTAAAGTTTTGTATCCAGTTGAAAAAATTAGTCAACCAAATACCGATTTAAAGTTCTGACGCTATCAAACAGAAAACAAGAAAATTAGCCCCTGCAAATGAGTAAATACGAAGTTACAGAAAGAAGATTAAAAGATCAACATCTAGGAATCTCTTACCATGCTGCTACTAGTATGGGATGAACTGGATGGAAAGTAAGGGATGCGATTGCACCCGTGTGCTTCCAAACGCATACAGATGATAGTTCCACAGTGCCCTCGATTTTTTCATCACCAAGTACTGCCAAATGCTCTAAATTCCAAAGCCGTACATTGCCACCAAGGCATCCACTCGCAAGCAAGAAGGGTTGTGTTGGATGAAACTATTTAAAAAGAGATTTATACAAGGTAATAGGATTTAAAACGGAAATACTAGGTCATCTTTTAGACGTTCCTCAGGTTTCAAGTAAATATAGGAAAACTGAAACATTTCTTTATTGCATTGTTCGTTATTTCAACTCTTAAAGTTTTGAATACGTCCTTGCCATTCTTCTTTCATTTATGACTGACAATTAAACTCATATCTTTCTTGATTACCATTAATGTCTTCAGTTACTTTATTACACAATCATCTAATGTTTGTTAACTCTATAAGTGCTGATCATTAGTTCGGTGTTCTGGAACTTTCCCTCCCTTAAGCTTCATTTATTTGTTTGAAACAAAAATCTTTATGACCTTACTAACTCGGTTGGAATTTCCACTACATCATGATATACATATTTATCTCTAATCACCCTCGTTTTTATAAGTATGCCAATATTTGTAATTTTGATTTTAAAATATTATAGATTGCAAGCAGCTGATAAGAACCTAACGAAATAAAATGAACTCATTACTTTGAACCAACCTTTGTTTTTGCTCTCTAATATAATAAAGGGAATCGGGTATGAAACAATAAAGGGATAACCAAGTGTTGCATCCCACATTCCGTATCAGGCAGCTTGATTATAACTAAATGTAGTATTTTGGGACCAAAACTTTTTACTGCAAATTCAGAAACAACCCAACACAAATAAACAACCGAATCTAGGATTGTGTAACTTGTTAAGTTGCGCTTGATCAGTAATATTACTTTGTTCATCCTAATCAAAGTGTTAGTTGGGATCCGAATGTACAACACAGTTTAGTGTTGCCAACTAGTAGGCAGTCACTCCGATGAATAATATGAGCTCACGTTACCTTGAACAATTAATTTTCCCCTGAAGTTATAACAATATCAACTGGTCAGTTGCGAACACTGGTATTTAGAATTCCGAGCAACTGACTGTTTAGTCAGGTTGGTGAGCATTTATAAATGATTTTATCTCAACATTTGACCACTTGTTCTGCAAAATGAATAAAAATCAAATTACTAGGATGTCAGAGATTGCACATTGATTTGTTATAAATCCTTAATGAGGGACGACAGCACTCTATAGGAACTAGACAAAATACGGCTTGCTAGTTTGTATTTTGGTAAAATCATGAAAGATATATAAACTGTCTTATTGTCTGCTTTTAACTTAAGTCAGTGACAATGGAGGACAACACGTTAAATACGACACGACAGTATAGTTATGAAACCATACGTTGGACTCGCATTCTACCCACTACTGAACACGTTCCAACAGATGAACTTCCTAGACTTCTGACCGCTACTGCTATCTTGACGTGGTGGTCGGGCTTGCCTATTGTGATGAACCAACAGGAATATACTAGCTAGAACAGTCGTTCCTCAGGGTCTCACCGTGCCAGACAGGTCGTTTGAAGAGCGATAAGAATAAAAGTACCAAACCCAAGGCAAAGCCGTACTGTTGACTGTACAGAGGTGTGATGGCGGTAAGGTGTTTATTTCAGGCAACCAGCATAACAGCGATGCTGCCTTCTTACAACGAAGGGTGGGGTTAGAAAAGGTCGACCCTAAAAGTCCACACCTCACATTATCCCATGGATTTCCGTCTCCGGCGGTAAGGTCTTAACAAGTGCAGAGCTAACATGAAAATTACTCACAAAAAGGTCGTGTGACCGGCCTCAAGCAGTTATCCTTGAGCACTGCGATCAGATTCTCAGGTCACTAAGACCACCCCTAACCCGATTTCCCCTTCAGGTACCTCTGGAAGAACACTTCCACGGTGTGGGCGGCCGGGAAGTGATGACAGTCCTCATACATCTAACAGCACTTAAGACCAGTGTATTCGTAATCAATTTCCCTTTTCTCCAGACTCGCATCACTGACCATCAAAACGATTAAATTTATCAACATTAGATGTGAACCCATTTCTAAACCTGGATAACGCAGTAAAATGTGCTTAGGTCCTTTAAGCGGAATAAGCGCGCAACAGCTAGCTGACTCACTGATGTATTGTCAGGAATGCCGATTTCCATGACCCCAACCTTTAGGACTTGCTAACCGACTCGAGTCAAGTAGGTTGGATTTGTCTATTTTAGAGAGGGATATGCTTTGCCAAGATTATGACTTCAGTTAATGAAAGCTGATTTTCAGATTAGATGTGAACTTTTAGGAGCCGAAAAGTGAACAAGATATTTAAATTAGAAAGATGAAACTGAGTACCTCATGTCTAAGAAACTTATTAGCGAGTTAACGTGTAGTACAAAAAACGAGCGATACAGCCACCAACCAAGCGGTCAAGTGAACTTAAAAATCTGCTTCAACTTTGACTAGGGTGGGCAAATATACAAGAAGCAACGATCTCGACTAATTTATTCGATGACCGGTCAAATTGCAGCTAAGACTTGAAAACTATACGTTTTGACAATGTAGCTGAAGTACTGGTCAGTCAGTAACAACGTAGAACTTCGTACGTGCGTACATCAAATCGAGTTGCCATATCACATTAGCACAGAGATGCATTTGTCGATTCAAATCCCATAGTGGTAGAAGTAGTAAGAGCATAAGCAGTAATCGGAAAGATTAGGGTTTGAAGATGTTATCCAAGGAGTATAATACAGTGAAATAAATTTGGAAAGAGAAAAAAGGACACATAATTCAGAATATTCGAATTTCGGAGAACACAAAGAGTGGATTCATCTGCGCCCGATAACCTCGTACTGTAGAAGTTAGTGATAAGACCTAGCCGCTCTAACAGTAATTGGAGAAGAATCCACACGGCTTACTGACTACCTCAAGTACCACGATATTCTATAAATACAGAAATATAAAACTGGCTGTGTGGCCAGCAGTTCATGGTATATAGATGTCTTAAATCGTGACATGATCACCGAGCAATGAATACAGCTCACAAGTCGAGAACGATGACAGGGTCAGTTACAACCCACTAGAACTATTAGGAGCACCTACTACGTAAACTCACGTCTCAAAGACTAGGATAACAGAAGTTTGACTACTAAACTCGATGCAGTGCTAAATCAAACGATTCACTTTACGGAGCCAGGAACGGGACCTAGTTTTAACTACCAGTGGCTTATTTAGTTGCCATGACAGGATCAAGCATTTCTAATATTGGGGTTGAAATAACCATTAGGTGAACGAAACCCACCCAGTCTCGTTACTTTCGAGTTTTCCTCAAATTTTGGGGAACTTCCCTAGATTTATGGAAGTTTTGGGTTTTTTCCCAATTACCACAGATGTTTCTATAGCAGCTTCCCCAAAGTGGAGGTCGAGCACATTCTTACCATTTCTTAATACAGAGCTTTACACGGAAACATTTACCCAAAACCCAGTTCCAATTAAACAGTATTTATTGAAAGTATGACTTACAGTTAGTGTCCAAGGAGATTTTTCATGACCAATGCATTTTAACAGTAGTCGGCCAGTGGAAGCGCAATAAACACAAACAGATCGATCTCCGTGTGCCGCAGCAACGAGTCGGCCGGAACAATTAAGTCGAAGCAAATAGACAGAGCGACAATTGACTGGTGTGTCAGCTATTAGAGCTTTAGTAGATCGCTGGGCCGTGAGCTTGTCCGAAACGCTCTGATGTTCGTGACATGCAGTCTTACCGAATTCTCTTCGATTTGTATAGTCCACAAGCGATTTTAATTCCACGAAACTTTTCTGAATAGTATGACTGCAAAACATGCACGAAAATCTGGTGATCCTAGTAACGAGAAATACGCAACATCGCTCGCGAGTACATTTGATACAATGGAGGCAAATATAAGTGAAAAGACTCATTAAAACACCAGGTGAGTAAAGTTAAAAATGGTGTTGAAACACCTTCAAAAGTGCTACTTATTTAGTAATGGATTCCAGGAAATTATAAAACACCCCTACTTTGTACAGTGTATTGAAGATATGGGGAAACGGGTTGGGCATTCTGCTTTGATAACGCCGTTCAGACACTGGCAAGGCAATGGTAGATATAATATTATTTCTCCGACAAGTCACCAGTAGTATTCCCAAAGATAGTGTATTCGGTCAGTGGAAAAGCAAAAACGGGGCAACAGCGCAGTCGGCAAAACAAAATCAATCAGCGATTTGGAAAAATGTAAGATTTCACCATGTTTGTGATAATTGAATTCCATCGAGCTTATCTTTTTTAAAGCTCCAATCAAAACTTACATTCAACGTTCATAGCTACTATCAGATTTGTGTAGGATGTTTTCACATCCGTCTGCTTTGAATATAATTAGTTGAATTTAGTTTACCTCGTATCCCTTCCCTGTATTCTTATAGACACACTAACGAAAGATTTAGAGCCTTATAACCTATTACTCAAAAACGTACTCCATTTTTTTATCCCTGACAACACCCACGCGACCTTTCCGACTCTTCCTTATTATGAAGAAAATACCATGTAACAGGCTTAAAAGATTGTTCAGTGGTAATATATAACTTCTCGAAATCAATAATCTTTCAAATATTCGGAATTTTCACTGTCCGTAGCTTTAGCTTATGATGTTGCTGACAGCGTCTCCTTTTCAAAATTCTACAACAAGTTAGGATAGATGTCGTTCCAAGTCAAAATAACGAGAAAGGAGGATAACCTTTCTCTGTATATTGCGCTTTGGTTATCAGTGGAACTGCGGGAACCATAAAAAACCGAGGGTGAAATTATAAATCTCTCTAAATCGTTATTATGTCTCGGCAACGTCTAGATTAAGAAATGATGAGTGTCTGGAACAATTATGGGATAAGAGTTTTCACAACATCACACGAGGTACATTAGTATTTCAACACCGCACTAGTTAGGAGTTTGGTACAAACTGATAAGTCATGTCCAAAGGATCCCGCTAGCCATTTATAACGAACAAGTCCTACACGATGACAGTTCATCAGCTTACCTTGTGGTAACAGAATGTCGTATAACTATTCAATCATTCCTGTGACATCTGATGAGAACGATGAATTGATGCTCACACCCAACACCCTGCTACTACTAAAAGACTGGTAATTTGAGGCTTATATGCTTTATTACGGACAGGTACTCAGAACGGTAGAGATAGGCAAACTGTGTACTAAATACCTTCTGGAGTCGGTGAATGAAAGAATAGGTTCTGTTACTGCAAGTGAGACAGAAATGGCTTCGCAAACTTTTGGTTAGATGGTATAGTGCTGGTGGCTAACGACTTTACTATTCTCAGCTTATAGCTGGTGGATAAGTACGAGGTAGATGGAGATGGTCTTGTAAGAACAGCAACGGTAAGTACGGAAGAAGGATTTATAAGACGGGAAGTGCTTGGGCTTTGTCTTAGGGAGGGAACTGAATAACCGCTGGTTGTCGTTTAAGTTTATAGGTATACAGGCGTACTTGCTATAAGTCCTGCACTTCCCATTATGGTAGGAAAGTTAGCTAGTACAGCAATGGCTTAATATATTCAAAATTATCCGTATGAAGGTAGAGGGATTTCGGTGCCTAGTGTAACAAAATAATATGCTGGAAATCCCCCAAAAGTGTCTCACTGAACAGAATTGCTATTTTGTTCTTTTTCATTGTCTTATATTTTACTTTTAATAATGTCTCTTGTAACCACATTTTACAGTTGTCAGTCTTCTTTGCCTGGGGTTTTATTACTTGGATTTTGTTAAAGAATTGCCTTTATCGCTTAATTTTACTGTTCCATGTTGCCAGGTCATTGCCAATGGAGTCGTGTTTGACTAAATTCAAGGTCACAGCGTGATCCAATTAATGCTTGTTGATATTTGACGGCCCGATGAAAACGGTTATTCGAGTCCTTGAAGGTAAAGATTTAATCCCATATAGTTAGGAATGTTCTAGTTGATTCCCAGCTACAGAACACATATTGACTAATCATTCTTTTTGCTGTTTAGCACGATATTTTGTACTAGGGAAACATTTTACTGTGTGGAACAGACTGTACCATTGGAGGTATTCTGTACTTTTGATATTATTTGTTTTCCTTCTTGGAATACAGCCATTCAAGTTGGGCACAGAGTTTGTGTTTTGATATAATTTAATACGAGATATTCAAAACTTTTTTCACGCTATACAGAACTTAGTTTGACCTCATCGAATAGACTTTGGTTAGTCGGTTCTGAGTTTAGACCAAATACTGGAATCCTAGTAGTTACACTAAGTTTGCAGCACCTTACATATTGAAACTTCTGGATCTTATATGCATCTTTACCTACAGTTTGTGCTGATTTGCTTGGACACCATAACATACTCATTAAACCCTACAGACGGAGGTTCAAAAACGGAACGACTTAGCTGTTCCTCCTCACGGTGTTTTTCAGCAATAATTGACGTTTATTCACGGTCGGGAACACATCAAACCAGCACTTTAAGTCAATGCCCTACAAGGTCCCTGGAGGCAAGCAAACAAATACGGAATCGAGATGTATAACTATAAACACGCATCATACACATAATGACCTATATTATCGAGAACAGTCCAGTTGATAACCAAGAGGTGAGAAGGGGAAAAAGAAAATGTTACCGCACGCCGGACTTTGAAATGGTTGTTCATGAAAATTACCACAACGTATAGCATCTAACTAGAAGTTATAAGTAATCATATCAAACAACTGCCCTAAATCGTTATTCCTCGTTGTAAAAAATTTGATAGTTATCCTTAAAGATATGGAAGTATTTTCAAGTCAGTAAAAGCTTACTATCAAGTTCCTGTAGTAGTAGATGGTATCTCCAAAATGGTCATGACAATCCCTTTCCGACCTGAATTTTTACTCACGTCTGTTAAGCTGTAAAACATCACATAGACAACATAAAATAATTCTGCCAGAGAAGGTACATGCCATTTATGAGGGCATGATTTTTAATTTACAACATTAATTTGCTCACAGTACGCTTCCTATGTAGGGTTGTTAAATAAATAAAATTAATAGAGATAAAAGACAGCACATTCATGCAGATGTCCCACAGAGTTGATAATAAAGTTTATGTTTTAGTGTTGCACTGTGAGTGCAGTTTTTATAATCCGTTTCGAAAATGGCACCGCGCTTATTCCGTACATCAGGTTCAAACTCGAAGTCGTTTCAGAATTCTGGTGATGCTAAGTATTTATGCAATACCACTTTCAAGAAGTTTGAATTTGTAGTGAAGTAAATACTAAGAGTGCTTGGTATGAATCAGGACCCTGGAAAACGCGTACGTTACATCTATTTCAGACGTGAGGAGCTTCATAGCTGGGATTTGAGGGCGTAATGCTGAAAAGGGAGACAAAGGAGTACTAAGGCATTTAAATATAAACCCCAAACAATCCTTATCGATTTGTAGTGGAGCATAAAAAGGTATGATAAATTGGTAGATAAAACCCATACTAGCCAAAGTGAGGTGTTGTTATAGCCTTCAGATATGAGAATAAATTTGGTAGAGAACAATGTGTCATGATATGTAACAAGGTGGAATGGGTTCAAAAGATGGAAGGAAAGTAGAAGTAAGCATAAGGAAGGTTTGTCTATCAGAATGAAAAATCTATAAAAAGAGTGTAGTGCTAAGAAACTCTAATAACAATATCTTATATTGTAAGCTTTTCTAGGTTCTATTTTTTCATCTGATGCCAGCAACTGAGTCATAATGTAAAATTCCATGTTAGTATGTTATCGATTACCTTAGTAGGACAGTGATTTCAACACAAAATTGGAAATATAAGTCTGAGTGATGAGCATAGGAGAACAAACTCAGCATTACTGATTGATTGCCTTGTTTTAATCATAACGAGCCTGAAACAAACGAAATGTTCCGCCTCACAAAGATGGGTGAATTCAAGGCAACGTCCTCATCATTAATGCCTTCTGGTCTGTAACTTTTCCCTCCCTCCACCAGTGCTTTTATATGTCTTGAATTACAAATGTTAACGGCTTTGTGATTGACAGTGGGGTGAAAAACAACCATTATTTCGATTCTGCACTTAAAGGACTATTAGCACACAAAATATGAAGTAATATCCAATTCGCTGAACTTCATCGGAGATACCAGAGAAATTCACGGTATTCTAAAACTAGAAAATACAGAACAGAGCATTCTGGAATATCTTATGTGTAACGTGCATCTTCGTCTTTTATGAATTTAAGTTGCTGTCGATTTTATCCTGTGCTAATTGTTGTGTCCTTGATTGGAAAATTAGAGAGCAGCGTACTTATCGATCGATTCAATGACACGTAAACACGTACGGACGGCCTAGAGTCTCTATTGGTCCGCTTCCCTGTCTAGCCCAGTCAGTTGAGTCCAGAACACAAGTCACAGCCTCGGAGATATGAATCACTATATTTCAAACATACTTTGTTTATATACTAGTCAAGCATACCACAGCGTACCATAAAAATAGAAAACAACATTTTGTACAATATTCAACAAGTGAACAGATATCGACCATAGGAAATGTCCATTTAAAGTCCAAAGACACCATTGAACTTAACATGATAATTATTGGTCTATTCTTCCGCATCCACAACAGTCTTGTTAGCTATTAACGACAGTTCATCTTGATCCGCCTCTCAGACAAATCATTACCGTTGAAATACAAAACCAAACGAGCTGGTCAAAACTAGCGAGACAGCACTCAGCTTACAAGAACATAGTCTCAAGGTCAACGGTGTATGCATAAAACGTCACTAAATAAAAAGGGGTCAATAAAATGTTCTGCCTTTTCAAAATGTGTCATACAAACATCAAACTAGATGCACGCGAATAGATATTTCCGCGTCAT